ACATGTTCCTGGTAGTTCGGCACATCTTCGCTCCTAACAGTGCTCCTGTGTATTTTTCTGTAGGCGGAAATAATGAAAAACTGACCAATCATGATCAACTGAGAGGCCAATTATTTAGGCCAAATTCCCACGTATAATGCATGCTTGGTAGTTAGCGCAATTCTCATCATTAACTCCATCCGATAGTTACGGCGTCTGCGCAATCCTTTTCATGTCCAAACATGCTATCCAGAATAGCACCCCAGCTGCCGAGCCACTTGACCCGTAACTGCTATTGCCATTCTGCTGTCCGATTCGCTTACTGGTCGGCCTCTAGTCACAGTAATGTGAGTGTCCTTTAGTTGGATCGCAACATCTTGCCTGGATTCATACAACGAGGTCATTTGTGTCGAAACGCAGCGCAAAGTAGGTAAGTTGTACTTGATATGACCAGACCCGAAACCACATCAAATTTCAAACGGCCGCTCAGCGTCGTGGTAGTCCGGTAAAACAACAAGGGAGCCAAGGATACAATGGATGCCGAGGATTCACGCCGATGTTGTCTCTCAGGATGTATTGTTGTCGCAATGTGAAATTATCGAATACACATGGCGGTTCTTGCTCACAACACAGCCAGGTTTGTTGCGCCGTCAGTTGTTAAAGTAGCGTAGATCGCGTTACCTTGCAGATGGGACCGCGGTTGTCAGGCCATCAGTTGGACTTCGTGAACTCCCTGGCGGGTCTGTTCGAGTGCCCGCTGCCGTGTCGCGCGGTCTACCTGCACACCCTCTGCACCAACGTCGTGGCTCTGCGGTTCTACCAGCGTCGGGGCTTCGTGGTCCATCGTCTGGTCCCGCGCTGCTACCTCATCGACGGCGACTCTGCCGACGGCTACTGCTGCGTACTGCACATCAACGGCGGTTACCCCTATCGATCCATGGCGTATCCTTTTTTGCCTGCACCAGTATTGCCTGAGTGTGTCGGTCGCCTGCCCTCCTCTTCCTTCTTGCTATCCCCACAACCACCGTGGTGTTGTTGATCCTTAACCTGTTTTGTAACGTAATAGGGACGAGTGCCTCCAGTGGCTGCGTCAGACCATTTCGGCAACCCGCGCAGCCGCCGTCGTGGTGATCGCGCGTCTGGCTCGAGCCTGCGACGCGCTCTCCTCCTACCTCCTTCACTCGCGGCGATCGATAAAGTGGGCGTCGTCTCGTTTGGGGCTGTGGCTTCGTGGCACGGAGGAGATTCCAGTTCACTCGCTCCACAGAACCTGTTTCCCCCCTGGCCATCTCGAGGGCATCCAGTGCGACAACAACTCTCCCCTCCTCATGTCCTCAAAATAAAAGCCCCACCGCACCCCGTCCCACCCTGCCTTCTGTACAGACTAACTTATTCCTGGTATTTATAAGATAACTGATTGTGTGCCTTCAATAAAATAGCACTCGGCGTGATTTTTACCTTAAGAGGTTGCTGAAAGCCCCGGCATGTCTAAGAAGACCGGAGATGGTAAAAGCTAGATGGCTTCACCCAGCTGTGTAGTCGCGTTTCTGCTCCTAAACATTCGTGTTTAGGAGCACAGTCTGGGTGAATCTTTAAAATCACAAATATCTGAATGGTCAGTTGAATGAAGCGAGCAACGTGGGGAGAGGTACACGCAGAGGAGTGTTTGAGCGGACTTTTTCGCATGATCGATTTCGACGCCGTGCAAAGGCCATTGTTGACGAGATTGCGACGACCGGGTTAATGGACGTGCGTCAGTATTTCCGTCCGAAGTCCCGCTCGATGTTTTTCGGATGTATATTCATATTAACTTAAAATACTGGCGATCAACGGTTATGTGATCGTACTCAGCTTGACTAAGTCGCCTTTAAACTACTTGTCATTCGACAGAATGCACTATTAAGCCTGGTTCTGAATTGCATTTAAGGATGGGTATATACGTCGGTGCATCTCGCTTGTGTATATATAAGTATCGGTACCCTGTGACAGTCCAAAGACGCCTAGACAACCAAGGCTGGAGTGCCATCGTCTTCCTAGGTAGGTGCATCTCCACCTTGAGGACATCGATTTATACTCACTTTTCCGGCGTTCCATTCGGCTTTCCTGTTCTAGTGACTCAGTCTCGTAGCAAACTTCCAGACAGTCCAGTACTGTGATTGGCCACCCAGCAGTAAGCGCGTGTGCGCACATTAGTGGCATTCTGCTGCTCCAAAAATCAGCTAGTTCGTGGTATGTACCACCAATAGCAGGTGATCTTCTTCTTTGTCGCCAATTCTGCCGTCTGAAGCGCACGCAGTCCAGGTGCGTCCGTTTGGGCGAATTCCGTAAAGCTCCATTTGATTGGTGGATTATTGAGCATTGAAGAAACTCTTTCAAGGCCGAAGCAGCTCTTAAAAGATTCAACACAGGGCTGACCAGTTGCAGTATTGGCCTTCGTGAAACGCATAGCGATAATTTAATGGCGGAAGAGGAAACGGCCAATGCACGAACACCGTGGCACGAATTCGGGACAGTTGCAAAGCAGTCAGTAACGCATTTCTGTTACAGGTAAGTGCATGTATCCAATTGTGCTTCGCAGAATTGGATACATTCGTCTTGACGGGTCCCGGCACACAGATGAGAATCCCCTTGTGCAAATTAGTTAATTCCGGCGTCAACACGCTCTCAGGCACTTCACACCAACACTTCAACTGAACACGAATGAGTCAGTGTTAGCGTGCATAAACCGCAGCTAATGGTAAAAAATAACAATTTTAAAGATCCTGACAACCTCGGTTTTGGGAATGCCGAACCCCGAACAAATCCAGAACGTCTATCACTACCCAGGCTCGAAAATGTTAGTTTTGTAGAGATCTGCGAACATTAGAGTATCGCAAGTTTGGACTTTCGGTATTAATGTTATCTATTACCTTCGAATCGGCCTTTCCCTTCTTTTTTTTCTAAAGTGCATGCTTTAATCTATCCCACTAGACACGTGGTTTTTAAAGCATCCCCACTTGGGCTTTAATCTCATAAAGCAAGATTATTTCTCCCAAAATAGATGGCTTTTAATGGATTATCACATTATCAATTTTCGTTGTTTGTCCAGGTACGACTGCTTGTGTTTGCAGTGGTCACAGGACACGAAAACCATATTTTAATCAGCCGCGAGCTAGTTGATTGGATGTTCAGTTATTGATTTTTTAACCTTAACTATGGATTACTCCAAGTGAGCCACTATTCTCTTGGCTACGGATGAATACTCGACTGTGTCTGTCATCGTTGCCTCTCCTTTTGTTATTCTCGAGCAATCTAATTGGTCAATTGGCGGGATTGTAACACAATGTAGCTCCCACAATACCTTTTAAAGCACCTGTCAGTCTTCTAATATTTACGATGCTAGCATTTCCTGCCTCTGGTTCCCACTTTACTACTCTATTTGTTCACTCATGCGAGCGGTGCCATCCGTTTGAGCTTGTTTTGTGTTGCTTAATTGATGTCTTATTGTTTTACTACAACACACGCGCACATCCGTTTTGGGCCCCAGCATGTGGTCCTGCACCACGCCTGGGCCACTGAGTTGAATCGGGCCCGATTACGCTTTCCAGCTACCCGCCATGAAGAAAAAGACCGGAGGGGAAGTGGGCACAACCGCTTTCTTCAGAGCTCAACCAAGTTGGCGTCGTTATGTCGTGTGTGTCGTTTGCGCGTGGGGTATTTATACCTCAGATGTGTGAGTCACAGATGCGCTAACATCGAGACCTAGGTGTGAGAATACTCTAGTATAATCATTCGCTCAAATGAGGGGGGAGGTGAGGATCCGTGCGGCTTGCGACGTGCTGCGAAAAGGGGAACCCTGTGTCGGATAAACAAGTGTTAATCAACGCGGTTCACAACACATCCATGTAAATTACAGCACATGTTTCATGTTGCTTTTGCTATTTTAGACGTACTCAACGTCGGTGTGGATGTCCGAATGAAGGAACCAAGTCGAAATTCTTTTTAAAACAGGTGATTCCTCTCGAGGGACTGATTACTCCTCACTAATTTTGTGAATTCGTACTTTGACAAAGCCCAGGAGCTGAAGAAATGACAACTTAATCCGGTGTGTGTACGTGCTAGGGTACTTGTAGTCGATTTAACCTTCGTGCTACGTACTAAATGACAAGAACTCAGTGCTCAGTGGTAGTAATTAAAATATTTGACCTTCAGGCAGTAACCTAGACTAAAGATGGACAGGCTTTAGCAAAAAGGAGTGCTGAATGAACCACGGTAGAACGAATAAAGAGTTCATGAAAATAGTGGCCTGATTTTTCACCTAGCCGACACTTTACAAGACCCTTATTTCTGTCGCGCGATGCAGGCCTTGCGTTCACGTGGCCCATTGGCAGCTGAGACGACCAATTGGCTTGGAGGCCTTTGCTTGATTGGCTCTTGTGTTTCAACTGGATACGGTTTATTGGCAGAAATCGCGCCGATGATGATTCCGACATTAGGGGATATGCGCTATTGAAAATAACTTACAGTGAATTTTGGGTGCAACGAACGCAGGCTATCTTCTGTGGGCACTTTTGAGCTTTTAAGTAGACTTAGATGCAGAATTATAGTAATATTTAAAACCGCTATCGCCTCAAAGTTTGAGGCGGGATAATTCGCGATGTTTAAGTAACCTGACGACAAGGTGCTTCTTTCACTTAATCCCCTCACTTTTGGCAGATTATGTTTTAGTGGAGTGAATTTTGTCTAGAATTTTGCAATGGTGACAAATCCGGGATTGCTTTTTAGATGCCCGTAGTAGTAATTTTAACAGTCATCCCTGCATCCAATCTAAGGATATTGGGAAACATTTGATGTTGACGTCCATGCAGCTAAGGAAAAGCGTCGATGGTGTCGGCACGACACGATCAGGTAAACACGGCATCCACCTCTACTCCACCAAGCGTGATGTATCGCTATGATCACTTGCGTGGGCGTATTTGTAGTGGATCGTCAGCAATTGGACGCGAGCGATGCTTACCTGCACCATTATTGATTACAATGACTAATCCCCATTTTTATTGGTTGCTCTTGTCGGTTGTTTGCTATGCAGTTGACCGTGCCTTGACCACCTCGCTGTACATTTTTCATTTTACTTAATTGTCAGTCCAATTCAATTAAACACCCAAATCGGTTGTCTATCAGTTCCACCTCTGAATTTATCCTCGTTTTCATTTTCTGTCAACGGAAAAATTTGAGTCGTTTTTTGATTAGGGTGGAACCAACAGTTAGACGAAATCGTCACCATTTATACCGTGCACATAAACCCACCGGAAACTTTCGTGGCAGATGACGAAAAAACAGCATATTTTTCACCATGATTAACTTCGTTTTGTTTTAAAGTTGGGTATCACAGAGACGAAAAAAGTGACTTAGATCTGTAGCAGAATGTTCAAGATTAAGCCGTCGACAGGATAAATGTTAGTTTTGGTGAAATACATTTAAGGGAGTGAGTCATAATAAGACAATTTCATTCGATTTTCGTTTTCTTTGAACAATCCTCCAAAATTAGGGTTAGAGGCTAAGTTAATGATTCTTCGACCGAACTCAATCGGCGAGCCAATCAAAAACGATCTACGGATCGAATGGACATGTAATTGGTCAGAGTTGGTGCGATGGTGAATGCACAATCCCAGCACTATTTGACGTCTGGTTACAGAACATCAAGTTGATTGTTTCGGCAATTGCAAAAAATAGCATAAATACGTGATCGGCTTTGGGGTTACAATAGTAACCGAATCACGTAAACATGTATTCAATTAAAACAAAACAAATTCCGGAGGGACGAAAACTGGCGGAAACTAATTCAAAGCTGAAAACCACGAATTTTCTTGCCTAATTAATTATCAAATCGAAGCCGTAGATAATCCCCTTCCCGTTCCCCATTTAACCATCCTGATTTCCTGTGTAATTGATGTACTTGTAAATGAGAACCAACCAACAGTCTCTAACAACAAAAATGGAGTCAGTCACGCCCAATCGAATTCAAGAATTGGTCTCAGCTGAGAGCGAGTGACAGAGATCCCAGCAGCGCGATGAACTAAGCAGAACTTCTAAAAAATAAATGAACATAGCTGTCGAACAAGGCAACTTTTTTTCCCATTAATGGTTTGCCACTTTCACCTGCATCTCTAACTATTCACATGCCGGAGTAAGAGGAGGTTGTGGTAAAACCCCTCCAACCAGGATCGCTGATTCATTTATCGATTAGGTTATGGTAATTTTGGCAGAACTCATGGTAGGTTAGCAAGCAGTTGAGTTCACAATTGACGGTGATGAAATTTTTACAAAGACGACGGGAAGAGGATCCAATGAAAGACTGGGTAAATCAGATATGACTAACTGCCCATTGCAAGATCTGTCAATATATTTGATTGATTTGTTGGTTTTCCGCACCGGGTTGACATCAAAGGGGTTGAGATTCCCGAAATTTCCTTCAAGTAAATACACTTGATGCAACGTGTTCAAGACCCCAGTCTACCCTAATGGACCAGCATTGAAATGTTAGATCAGCAGGAATTGGCGCTTCAAATCAATCGTTTATCCACGATTATTTTTCGAGTGACCTACCTGCTAGTACTCTATCTAAGTCAGTGATGTTGCTAGTTCCGCGAAACTAACCTTCCATAACAACATTTAGTTGGTACCTTGTTAAACTCTGCATCGTTTAACCTAAGTAATGACGTAGAGAATTTGGTACTTTGGAACTCTCAACATCAAGAAACACCTCGCTCTGAAGTTGGAGTGGAATTTGGTTACGGCCAGTTCTCGATTTGTCCATTTTTCAAGTGTCAGTTGTCCTCAAGCACAGTGGGTGGCGGTGGTGGGTAGAACCTACGCAAATCACCTTGGTTGTTGAATAAGTAGTGGTAGTAGTGCGAACCACTTACGTGTTCAGCGGTTTTCCATCGGCTCGCTGCTGTTTCTCCTGCTCAATGCGATCCATTAGCTTCCTTTGCATGTCGGCTTTCCTCCTGTCGACTCTGAAAGACATCGCAAAATGTTTGATGAGAAAATTTACTAAACACGTACCGTGAACCTCGTATTTGATTTTGCGATGTGTCGATCGTAATTTTGTGATAGAGCAAACACATTCATCGGAACATGAAATTCGTGATATTCTGCAACCAAGCTCCGAGAATTTTCCACAAAGTAACGCACATAAGTGAAGTAGTGCACTCTCCCTTGCAAGTCTGGGCCCCGTCATATGTTTAAAAACGTACGATTTCATTGCGCTTGAGAGGCATATTTCATGCGGAACCCAAATAACTAGGTTTACTACTAGTCCATGACATTTCAAGTGACATTTAATTTCTGTTGTGTGGGAATCATTTACAATCCCTCGGGAATCTCTTTCACGCGGTTATATGACCAGAAAGACGTTAGGCAACCTTGAGCTACAAATCTCCAGGACAGAGTGGCGTTGAATTCTGTGGGCTCACAACCGCCACCACAGCTCACGCAAAACCGCTTCCAATGGTTCGTCATCTTCCACGGTCCTGTGGCGAGCAGCAAGCGTAACGTCGTTCATTCAGTGATTGATGCTTAGCGAAACTAGATAAATGCACTTGTTATCTTGTATACACACATCACCGCTACCGCATCCATAAATTAGTTGAGCTGCTCGCCAGCAACATTTTTCCTTGTTCTTCCAGTCCCGCCTTGTCAGTGTAGATCGCCGGCCCTGGTGTGGTTTACTAACTGCACCGGGGGCCGCTACAGTCCTAACTCTGTGTCCACTTCGATGTGCTCCGAAATTGATCATGGACTTTCGCTGTGTGTTGAAGCGAAAACCCGATAAGTCTTTATTAGCACCTCGATGACACATGCGTCCGAGTTATCAATACACACACAAATTAGACGGGACATCATGTCGACAGTTAAGTCTCTCATTTTCTTCTTGGGTACTCTGAACCGTATCGTGCATCCTCAATTCGATAAATTAATTGGCTGATGTTGTAGGTTTTATCCAAGAAGCGACCAGGTCGCCCTGTATCCGTGACGTAAAGCGAACGCAGCCTGTAGCGCACAGAAACCAGAACTTTATGACTAGTTGGAATAGCGCCTGCTAGTTTTTGCTTTGTGGGCGGGCTGAACGATCATTCATTAGCTTAGCAACGCTCCAGGTCACATGACATTTCCTCGTCACGTTTCCGTTTAGTTACACCTTTGCTCCAGATTAAAATGGACCCAAAACTCACGCATGTGAATAAAATGGCGCACTGTTCGCTTCGAAGGCAAACTCGTTAGCTTCTGTCAGACGTCAATAGAAAAAAAATCCCAGCATTGACAGAATGTTTTTCAACAGACGAAGCACTGTGTTATTTTGAAAAACGAAAATACTTTTCTGCTTGCTTATTACGAACGTAAGTAAGGTAAGTTAGGAGGTGTGGTGTGAAGCGTTGCCTTGTGTACATCGCATGTATATGCCTACACAAATCTCACAACAACACGTGTGAGATTGTGGGAATGCGCTACACTATAAAAGTGCGCCATACTTCCCCGCAACAGCCTCCTGTCTTTCTTCGATGATACCATGGTTGACATGGGGTTAATTGCGGACCTACCGACAACACACTATAAGTACGAAGAAACACCTGCGATGTTGTGATAATGTTCAGTTGAATGCCTCCTAATGTGTTTTGCGCACAAATTAACCCATTAAACCACGAATCAATCAAGGAATCTTATAGTAAATAATAACACTTAACTGATGAAATCTGGGTCGAGGTGTAAAACCCACTAATGGAATTGTTTAATGAAGTAACAACTCCTATAAAAACCGCCCACTTTTCACCTAACTTACAAATCGTTATTTTTATCTATTTACTGAGAGCTCGCATATACACCAATTCCGACATTTCATATCTGCCGCGCCCATCCTATTGGCTCACTCTTCCATGGATGTGCTGACCATTTAAATTACATGTGCAGCTGCCAAAACCAGAAGTATTAAATCAGCTCTTTGACTAAATTTGTAAACGGTCTGCTTACTTCGCGGTTTTGTCCTTTTCTCTGTAGTTTAATGGCTCGGTTGAGCAATTTCACAAGCCCACTTTGAACCACGTGACGTGCCAAAAAGGTGAATTTTTCAGTCAAGCACTCACCCCTGTTCGACGTCGTCCTGCTTCGAGAGGATCGCATTCACCCGGTCCCTCTCCTGGTCAGTCTTGGCCGCCATCGCTGCCATCCGCCGCTCTTGCAGTTTCTGCTGCAACCTCTCACGCCCAGTCTCGATCAGCCGATCATGATTGGTCAGTTTTTTCATTATTTCCGCCTACAGAAAAATACACAGGAGCACTGTTAGGAGCGAAGATGTGCCGAACTACCAGGAACATGTGTGTTTAATTTCTTGGTATTGACCAAATGGGTACTTTTGCACTATACATCTGGGTACAACAGAAAACCACATTTTCAGATAAGGAATGTCGGATAACAAAAATAAGGTGACAGGGAGAGATAAAGTTATCGACTTCGTTCCCGCCACCTGATATCCGAACTCTCATTTCTTGATGGCTACTTACTGCAACACCTATTCATATCACATTTTTACAACTCCTGTCTACATTCGGCGATCGAAAATGTAGTAGTATGAATAGCAATGAAACTATTTACAGGATATCCTAATGAAAAGTGGTATTTGACATCAACAATTTGTTCGCTACATTTCCTATTACTGTGTTTCAACATTCTGCGGGTTTTTGAGTTAGTTTATTGTAGAAAAAGCGCGT